AGGCGCGAGCCACCGCGCCCGGCCTATAATTGATTTTTTAATTTTAAATTTTTAATTTTTTAGAGATGGGAGTCTCACTACATTGCCCAGCCTGGTCTCGAACTCCTGGGCTCAAGAGATTCTCCAGTCTCAGCCTCCCGAGTAGCTGGGACTACAGGTGGGAGCCACTGCACCTGGCTAGAATCCACACTTTCTGAACAAGGGGTCCTATGTTTTCATTGTGCACTGGGCCCCTAGAATTTCGTAGCCTACCCTGTTCCCTGGACCTGCCCGTGGGAGGAACCAGCCTCTGAACTGCAGATCCTTCAGCCCTGAATGTCATAGGTCGGCCACCGAGGATGTCTGGTGCTAAGGACGTGGCCTCCCTGGCCCAGCCTGGTGGAGTGGACAGGGGCACTCACTGAGACTGCCTCTTCCACGTCCTTCTTGTTGAGGAGGGCGTGGTTGATCCGCAGCACGATCCAGTCGAACAGGGCGCTGTACAGCGACTTGGCCATGGAGTCTCGGGCGGTTATGGCCTGTGGACACGAGGGGACAGCTCACCTCGGGCGGGTAGCCCCTGTGCTGGGCAACCCCTTGGTCTGCGCGTCGGTAAGTCAAGGCCACTTTCAACACCCGAGTTATTCAACACACCCCTTTTCTTTTTTTTCCAGACAGGGTCTCACACTGTTGCCCCAGCTAGAGTGCAGTGGCGTTATCACAGCTCACTGCAGCCTTACGCTCCTGGGCTCAAAGATCCTCCTGCCTCAGCCTCCCAAGTAGCTGGGACTGCAGGTGTGCACCGCCATGCCTGGATAATTTTTCTATTTTTAGTAGAGACGGGGTCTCACCATGTTGCCCAGGCTGATCTCCAACTCCTGGCCTCAAGTGATTCTCCCACCTCAGCCTCCCAAAGTGCTGGGATTATAGGCATGAACCACCACTCCCAGCCTCAAATGGTCCTTTTTAAAGGTCTAATCCACATATAATAAATTCACTCTTTGTATGTTTTCAGTTCTCTGCTGTGACAGATGTATTCAGCCGCAAAAAAGATCTAGAACATGTCCCTCTGGTTTTGCATTCCCCAGATGTCACAGGGACGAGGCCAAACAGAACACAGCCCCTGCCTGGCATCTTTGGCTCTGCTCACGTTGCCTATGGGGGACGCTCGTGCTCCTGGGGTCTTGGGTATCTTGCAGCGACTTCCTGGTAAAATCACTTGGTGCCTTGGCCCCCAGGCAGGCTCAGAATGTCCCCTATGCCTGTCTGAAATGCCCGAGCAGCTTTTTGTTGGGTGAGAGGCCACCACCAGCTAAAAATACCCGCACTTCCCCCCTGCCAGGTACTTTCCTGGTGCTATCCAAGCTGTAAGTGACACTGCTCTTGACAGATAAAAAAGCAAGAGAAACACACCTCAGAGAGAACATCTGCGCTGATGCAAAGGCCAGAGGGAAGTGTCTTATCAAGATTTAGGGGCAGCCTGAGGCCACAAGCCCTGCAATGGCTATAAAGGCTGCACTCCAGAACCCGGGGTGCAAACGTCTTCTGGCAAGAGCCAGGGAGGTATTGTTTTTGGCTTTGTGGGCCTGAGGGTCTTTGTCTCAACTGCTAAGCTCTGCTGCTGTGGCATGAAAGCAGCCACGGACAGTACATAAAGGAAGGGGCGTGGCCACATGCCAATAAAACTTTATTTATAAAAGCAGGTGGGGGGCCAGATCTGGCTAATCTTCACTGGTGCGAGGCACCTTGCTGTGCCACACCAAGCTGAGTGAGCATCAGAGGTGCTGCTGAGGTTCTAGTCTAGCACTTCAGGGACAGGAAGGGCTCTTTCTGAAGGACCCTTCTGCTTCTGTTTTGGGGGACTGGCAACAGCAAGTGCCCGGGCAGCACTCACCTCGCTGAGGCTGTAGGGAAGGATGAGCTTGTCGTTGACAGTCACTGTTTTTCTTTTGGTCAGAACTTCCACCAAGATTTCTCGCTTCACCTGTTTCAAGGTTGAAGAGGGAGAGCAGCAAAGGAGAAATGGAGAGCTTGTCAGGTGTGGCCTCATGTCACTAGGTTGAGCCCTGGAGCCCGATGTGGATAGGAGATGGACCCCCCACCTCCCTGCAGCAGCCAGGCTGGGAAGTGGGCCCCGAAGCCACTGACCCAAGACATGCTGCTCTATGCTTGGCAAGTCTCAGAATTCTCACACAGCACAGCCTCGTTGGACGGCCCGGACGAGACCATCCACAGACCCAGGTGCGAGTAGGGCCTATGGGCCCGGGTGGCTGGCAATGGACAACCTGCACTCACAGCCATCGCTGGTGGTTCCCATCCTGTGTGCACGGGCCAGGCTTGGGGCACAGACCTCACCCGGAGACCCCATGTCCCCCAGCTGCTGAGACCTCTCCCTGAGCCAGTGGTCTCTGCCCATTGGCAGTAAGAGTGGGGGTTAGGGAAGCTTCCCTAATCTCCCAGCAGGTGCTCACATATCCCCAAGAGCTCAACAGAAGTTGGGGGGCCCCTGCAGGCCTTCTTTTTTTTTTTTTTGAGACAGAGTCTCACTCTATTGCCCTGGCTAGAGTGAGTGCCATGGCGTCAGCCTAGCTCACAGCAACCTCAAACTCCTGGG